GGTGGTTAAGAGACTCAACATCACTCATGATGTGCTAGTATAGGTCAATTCCTCTAGAAAAGAAAAAGATACAATGCCAGAAGTCCATAGAGAAAAATGATCACTAAGGCGGAAAATTCCAATATTTGCTAATCCAAGAGTGTGTACAGAATGAGATATACTAATCAAATAACACACTCCGAAATGAGTAATGATCACAGAAAGCACACACATATTAACATGTAATGGATATTCTCATCAATTCCAATATGCCACAAGAACTTCTCAAAAATTTCAAGCTTGCAAAACCATACTAAGAAAAACTTTTTGGATTTTTTTTTCTTTTTAAAACAAAGCAAGACATAAAATGAATAAGCACACACTAAATGATACCACACATTAAATGACCCAAAAAGAAAACACACAAAAACCTAAAAACTAAAACGAATAAACGAATAAACAAATTAACACAAGTCAAGTTTTCTCACCCAAACCGCTTTACTATGAACAAAGTTGTGATAATTTTTGTTCTTGGGTGGTATCTTGACGTTGTGGTTCCCTTCCCTTTCAATGGGAACCCGTCGCGACATGGTTTCCACCTTCCTTTTTCTAGGTTTAGGCAAATGCAAACTCGCTCCATGTTTGGTCTCAAGCAAATCAAAATAACGAGTTCTATTATGACCCTTAACCTCATTACAACCAATGAAGTGTCTCCTATCCCACGAGGTGTTGGAATTTCTTCTATCTCTATGAGACACTCTCCCATGCAACTCATAACAATAAGGGCGAATATGACCATAAATACCACAATAATGACAAATAAGAACAGGGTGTACTTTCTTTTCTTTGACCTTACCAACTCTAGGAAGATTGAGAAGTCTTTTCCCTCGTTGAATCTTGTGCTCCCCCTGCACTTAAGTTCTCATCATGAGATGTGGATGCACTCGGTTTTTACTCTTTGTTATCACCAAAGCCAATGCCATTCTTGTCATAACACATTTATTGGGACCCAATGATACTGTCCAAAGTCTTTGATCCTTTGTTCCAAAGGCCAATGGTAGCCATAGCACACTTGAGCTCTTTCTCTTTCTTGATTATTAGTTCTTCCAAGGCAACTTGAGACATCTCAAGAGTTTTAATCTTTTCTTCATACGTTGAATAGATTTGTTGTAGATCATTCCTCTCTGTCTCACAAGTCAAGAGTTTCACACAAAGAGCTTGTCGATCACTAGAAATCTTAATGGCATCATTCCTAGCCTCGGAAATCTCCTCCTTTAGTTTGACATTCTCACTGTCACATGCTTTGAGTTTTATAGTGAGCTTGTCATTCAATTTGGATAAGTTTACGGATTCCTTATACAACTTTTCATAAGCTTGCTCAAGCTCTTCATCATCACTCTCTGAGGATTCATCATCAATGTCATTCTCAACCGGCCTCTTCGGATACTCTGTTCGTCCTTCAGTTTTGGAAGCCGCCATGAAAGTAATGAATTGTTCATGCCCCTCTTCGTCTTGTGCTTCGTTGTCACTTTCATCTTTATCAAACTCTGATTCATCATCCCAAGTGATAGCGAAGGCTTTCTTCTTCCTCATACGAGTAGGGCATTCTTGAGCAAAGTGGCCCAATCCTTGGCATTCATAGCATTGGACTCTTTCAGAGTTCCCTTGTTTTTTTCCTTTCTTCTTCTGGGTTATAAAATTAATTTTGAATTTATCTTTGCCTTTGGATTTATGAGTTGATTCCAAAAGATTAGGATTCTTTTTCAGAAAAGACTTTTTAAATTGTTTTACGAAAGCATCCATAATCTTGGAATCAATCTCACAATCCTCATTAGAATCCTTTCCAACTGTATGAGCATTACTAAAAGCAATATCATTTCTTTTTCTTTTTGAAATTTCTATGTGCCTCATAAGTTTGGAGATTTCCAACCAAATGATCCAACTTGAGGTTGTCAACATCTTGAGCCTCCTCAATAGCAGTAACTTTTGGTTGGAACCGATCGGACCAGGATCTCAAAATTTTTCCCACAACCTTGGATTCCAATATTTTTTCACCTAAATTGAAGCTGGAATTTACAATGTCACTCCACTTCGCATAAAATTCATCAAAGGTCTCATTATTTTTCATTGAAAGGTTTTCGAAACTAGACATAAGCCTTTGAAGTTTTGAGCGTTTAACCGAAGGAAGTGCCCTCATGAATAGTTTGTAAGATATCCCAAGTCTCTTTTGTGACTTCACAATTGCAAATACGACTAAACTCTTCAGGTGTGATGGCGCAAAAGAGAAAATTGATAGCTTTACTATTCCAGCTACTATTTTGATAATCAATTGTGTCCCACTTATCAATTGGTTTGGGGAAAGTTACTCCATCAACAGTAATCGTTGGTTCAGTCCACCCATACATGACAGATTGCCAAAATTTTTCATCAATAGATTTTAAAAATGATCTCATCCAAGCTTTCCAAAAAATATAATTAGATCCGTCAAGTAGGGGTGGCCGAACCATAGAATTTCCCTCACGAATTGAATCCATTATCAAAAATCAAATAAGATCTCGCTCTAATAGTTTTTTAAAAAAAATAGAGCGACCTGCTCTGATACCAATTGAAAAATCTAGAAATCCCCTAAATATTGATTTGTGATTATATATCACTTTTAAGCAGTAAATATCAATCACAATCAAACAATCAAGACAAATTGACACAACGAATTTAACGTGGAAAAACCACAATTGGAGCGCCTCCAATTGTGATAAAAAAAGCTACGGGCCAACGCCACAAAACAATCTACTAAGAAGACAAAAAGAAATTACATAAGTGTACTCTCAATTACCCAGCGAATCCACGCCCAAGTTAAACTAACCCCAATGTGTCTCTTCCACCACGGTCTTCACCTCGGAACTGTCTTGCCCAACGTTGAATCCACAACGCCGATGTCGAATCACGACGATGAGCCACTCCGGAATCCACCAAAGTTTCAAACTCAAATTCCCCAGAATCCATCGAAAAACAACATTCTCTTTTGTATGAAATAAACAAACACTCCTTTGATGTATACTTCTTAAACCATAAGTTGAATACTCAATCAAACATCAAAGAAAATTAGCAAAATAGCCCCAGATATAAACCCTAATATCCAAGAAGAAGATCTGGAAGACGTTTCCTAAAATCTGACTGAAACACATATTTATAACAAACTGTTCTGCGATCTCCGCTCGAGCGCAGGAATGGCCGCTCGAGCGGACTTCGCTCGAGTGCAAGAAATAAAATTCCAACTTCTAATACTTTTGCAGACAGGTCAAACTTCTGGAACCAAACATTCTCTACTCGAGCGCACAAACGGCCGCTTGAGCGGACCTGTAACTTTGAATGCATTTTTGCATTTTGCTTCGGGGCGCTACCCCTCAACCCCGCCGTGGCACTGCCCCGGACCTGCCAAGGGGAGCTGCCCCCTGGACCCCGCGAGCTGACCGGGCAACTCAATCCCCGACATAGTCAGCGAAGTGGCAAACATGAAAGAATTATCTTCTGAAAATTCTCTGCAAGGCACAATTCGAGTTGGATTCACATCTAAATGCTCATAGCCTCACTGAAATAAAAGAGCAAATAAAAGTACAATTGAAAGGAGTTTTGTCAAACGGGATTGCCAAGAATAAAAACCTAACATATGGTAATTAATTTGACAATGTCATGGTTGGAACTAAAATATCATGATTAACATAAATGTTTTGTCATGTCACCTAAACACTCTGTTATGTTGCCAAAAGTTATTTCTGGGTGCTTGCACTAGTTTTTTAACCCCTTCAGTTTCAGTAGCAGAAGCAGTGACCGTTTTACTGTTTCAAACAGTCACTGGCTTCCACTTTCAATCAACATTAGCTAATTTGTGCTTCTGAAGTTACAAAATATGTCCTATTTTTCTTGTTGTTTTCAGCAACAAATAAATACTGTGCTATATGGCCTATTATTACCACCATCATAGAAAGAAAGAACAAAAGAAGCCACCCAAAAATGTCATAAATCGTTGTGGTATATTGCTGCGAAATCTCTTGTTTTCTTAACAAAATAGGTTAACACCCATATGTGATTGAGTTAAAATGACTCAATATCTCGCAAAGTCTTGTTTCTGAAGAACTCTAAACATTGAGCTTTACAAATAGGATTGAGTTTTACTTCAACTTTTTGAAAGAAAGTACAACAAATAGACCCAAGCATGCAACAATGTCAACAAATACAAAAAAAGATATTCAACAGTATACAATTAATTAATTAGGAAGACCCAATAGTGCTTTATCTCAGCAGAGGACCAATGATTCCTCAACCGGATTGCCAAAAGCTCTTAATCCAATCTGGTTCAAGTCCTCCTTCTTCCTTCTCTTTCAAAAATACGAAGCACTTATCTATTCTTCTAAGGTATTATGAGAAGGGAAATGCTAACAACTACCTAATAGACGGTGATTAATGTTGGTATATGTGTAAAAGTGTGTTAAAATATGTGAAAAATGTACAAAAAATATATGTAAAAATATGTGACTTGAATTCAAATTCTAATTTTTTGACATTATTTGGACCTGACCAGCACTCAATGAATGATAGTTAAGAAGACCCTTGTACAAATGACAAGAAATTATATCCAGGATAATTTTGGCCTTCTTCAATGGAAGCAAACTTATGAAACATTTCATATGCACAACAAACCCTACCCAAGATCCCTAAAACTATATCATATGAAATAGTTAGTAATGCTACATTTAGATGAATGCAACACTCTCATCACTGCATTTTGTGAATTTTCTAAATAAATTTCTACAATAATGATGACAAAATAAACCAATATAGAATCAAGAACAAATGATCCCATTATGGAATTACAAGGGACGCAAAACTAGGCACTTCACTATCATTTAGAGGAAGCAAAAAATGTTTATCCCACCATTAGAATTTAGAACTATGGCATGCACCAATTGTCCTAAATTCCAAAACTACACTTCAAGAATGAGAAATGGAGAAAACACCATTCCTTATTTTTCTTCATCTTCTTCTGCAAAACTCGAGGCCAGACAAACTTCTTGCCCTGCTTCCTTATCATTGCAGAAGAATGATTTCCTTGCAATGAACTCTGCCACTCTCTTAGCTGGTCCTGAATCCTTGGACTATTATCATTGGTGCACCGAGTTGTTCTGAGACATTGAAAGTATATCAGGCATTTTAGAAATTGCTTGTGGGGAGTTATCATCTCCCAAGTTTTTGTGAGAGAGATACCACTATGGTAGTATATACAATTTATGAGTGAGAATAAAAAATGTAAGATTTTTTTGTTGTGCTACTTGTGTATATAATGTATATTCAATATCATTTAATGATCTAAATTACTTTAATTCATGTAATGGCTAATAATTTATATGTATATTTAATATTTTTATATATTTATATATATAATTCAGGTTTTGGGTTGCTCGGGGTTATTTGATGTCTTTGTCCAAATCTGCCCAAATTTAATTTGAACCTTTAAATTTTTGCTCAAGCCCTTATCAAATTCAAAAATATCTTGCTCAAGCCTAAAAAAATTCAAGCTGGGCTGGGGTTGCTCGGGTTGAGCCTGCGCCAAATTACACCCCCATTGCCATTCGAATGCCCCATATGCATGTCGGACGTCAAATAGGGTCAGGCCAAACGTGTAAAATAGAAATTTGGGGTATGTCAACATTACCAATGCCTCTACTTGTTAGGTTTCATCCATACAAGCAAGATTACCAACGACCAAGGGTGGAATCAGGAATTTTGTTTGGGAGAGACCAGTGTACATGCATAAAAAATAAAAAGTTAGTTTCGGTACATTAATATTTGAATATAATTTTTTATTTATGTATTGGAAAAAAAAGTATTTCATGAGAAAACTAAATAAATTTAACAAGTAATTTTTTCAATTTTCAAAAGTTTTGAACCGTTGATTAGATCTTAGTATAAAATTAATTAAACCATTGTTTCAAGCTATTATGACCCTGTTTCGGATATGGTTTTTTCGGCTAACACTTATGTCATAGTGAATAAGACAGACTAATTGATGTTAATTTGCATGTATAGCATCTATCACAATTGGATGATGCCATGGCTAGCGAATGCCCATAGCATAGAATCCCATGCCTTTTAAAATATATTAAATTCAATATCAATAAACTTTTGTGCGTGTGTGTGTAAATAAACGTCCCAAATTCATTTACAACAATGATTCATCCCACTAAAAACATTACCACTAATAGCACTAATGCATTAAAAAAGTAAAAAAAAAAAAAATACAACTCCAAGACTAAAACATCACATCATTAATAGCGGGACCCACTGCCACCTAATTAGTGGGAACACTAATTAGTGCTGCCTTGTGATGGCTTGTATCATCCCTCTCTTTTGTTGATGTTTCTCCCTTCCTATAAGGTTTCCATCATCAATAAAGGGATCTTTGTTGTTGATCAAAAAAAAGGATACATGCTGCTCTATTTGGTGCAGTTTATGGGGTTAATTATAAACTGAAAAAAATATATATATTGAGAAAGAAAGGGATACTTTATTTTAGTCTCTGTTTTCATCCCTTGGTTTTTTTTTCTTTGAAGCCACAGAGATCATCAATTGAAGAGTTGGTTGCACTTTTATGGGTAATGTTTTCTGCACTTTTTATATATTGATTATAGATTTTTACCAATTTTTTTCTTTGTTTTGTTTTGTGAGTATTGTTTTTCTTTAATTTTGGGTGCACTTTTGTGGGTTTTTGTTTACACACATATATGAAGATTTTTACCTATACAGATAATATATACACACATATATGAAGAGTTGGTTGGGTTTTTGAGTATTGTTTATTTTTATTTTTCTTACTTTGATTTAGTAGGAATTTGTGGGTTTTCTAAGTTTAGGCTTAAGCTACAATGATGTTGGTATAGAATTGCTGGTTTTCTTTGGTATAGAATTGTTGGTTTTCTAAATTATATACCTTTCAGATTTTATACGGCATAAAATTGTTAGCAAAATTCTAGAATTGTTGGTTTTCAAATTATATATTATTCTTTTTTTTTTTGGACAAATAAACAAACTTTAATATGATGTGCATCCTTTTAAGAGTGGACATTATTAATTTTCCCTAATTTATGAGAAATCAATACATGATAAATCAATATTTAGCCAAGAGAACGCATTAAAAAATATATATATAGTGCAAATAAACTATGGGTTTGTTGGGTGCTCTGTTCTACAAAATAAAAATAATACTCTCATCTCTTTTTTAATAGATTATTGTGTGTATATATATTAATTACAATTTTTTTTTTTTGTTTTTTCTCTTTGAAGCCATAGAGACCATCAATTGATCATTAGTGGAATAGAGAAAGAACGATTCCCAAAATCAAATTGTGAGTATTTTTTTTCCTTAATTTTCTATATGCATGTAGGATTTTGGGTATACATTTATGGGTTTTGTCTTTTTTCTTATACATATATATTATCTATGTATATATATACACACATATATGAAGAGTTGGTTGGGTTTCACGAAACCCATTTACTTTGATTTAGTAGGAATTTGTGGGACTATTGTATTGATTTAGTCTATTGAATGTTTGTTGTGCCATTACTATCGTTTGGTTGTTACTAAAATGGTCGATAACCATTATATCTTCCTTGCTTATTAAGTGTTTGATAAAATGTTTCAATGGAATTTACACACACACAAATTGACTTTAACACACACCACAAACATTGGCAATCTTCATCATAAAAATTCATAACTATCTTATGATGTGCATCCTTTTCTTTTTTTTTTTTCTTTTTTTAATGTGATGTGATGAGCATCCTTTTAAGAGTGGTGATCAAGGTAATAATAAAGGTAATAATAAGATTCTAATGTATTTCGCAAAATAATAATAATAATAATAATAATAATAATAATAATAATAATAATAATAATAATAACATTCTAATGATTTGACTGATAAAGGTAATAATAACATTCTGAGAAACTTGCATCCTTGTGGGCAGTTTGGAAGTTGATTTCAATAATTTTTGACTTCCATGATTCTTTGATTTTGAAGACCAACACATGCTCTACATAGTTGATTTGTGGTGATTCTCTCTCTCTCTCTCTCTCTCTCTCTCTCTCAAGATTAATGGGTTCAATAACTTTTTCGTGGTGAGCACCCAAACTTAGATTTTTAGATATATTTTTCATGTGAATGAGTTGTTGTTTCGTGCTTTTATTGGTATATTAGTACGGGATTTGGGGGTTTTTAGTATGTTGTTATTGCATTATTGTACAAAGAGGTTTTCATTTGAACCTTTCTCACCTTTGTTTTCCCCCTCCCCCCTCCCCCAATATTTAATGTACATTTGTAATCTCATCATACACCACCAGTTGAGCCCACATGTGTTTGAATTTTGTTTTAGGCTGAAGATTCATAATGGAATGATTCTCACTCACTCCCACCCCCTATCTCAGTTATATCTAAATACAATTTTGATTTTTTTAATTGGTACAAATGTATTCAATTTCCATGAAATTCGAAACTTTACCAGTGGAAGCAATTTCAAGTTGAGGCATGAGTTATAGATATAAAAGGTAAATTCATGACTTAATTTGTTTTATACTTATAGAAGTTGAGTTAGAGTTTTTATTTACTAAGATTTCAAATGCATGATTAATGATTAATTTCAAGTTTTTATTCAAATTCATGACTTAATTTCAAGTTTTTATTCACTTATAGAAGTTGTGTTAATGATTAATATTTGAAATTTTTTTTCCAATTAATTGGTTTTGAATTTCATAACTTAATTATTTAGATTTGTAATATCATCCAGTTCAATTTTTGATTAATCTCATTAACAAAAGAGAAGCCTTCTATTTGTTAGCCTGCTTTCAATTTGATTTACAAATTCTATTTTAAGCATGTTCATTGTGGAATCTAATCTCTATTTGTTCTTAGTATTATTGATTGGTAGGTTATTGATATTCACATAAAACAGTGCATCTTTAGCTTAAATTTTATATTATTAGTTTGGCATCTGCATATGTGTGTGGTTTTAATTGATTGCTTGAATTATATGGTTTGATTCTTGGTCTAAAGAAACTAACAAAATGCATAGGACAACAAAGTGCAATAGCTCATGTCTTTGTCAGATTGATTCAATTTAGTTAAATTAATAGTACTGGGTAATAGTAAAATGAATATATACTGTCTTTTGGGTATAAATAGGACAGTTTCATGATTTCATTGTAAATTTTATCATTTTTACTTGAATAATCAAATGAAATTGGGAAGTTTGAACTAAAAAGTTTTGTGGATGGGGCTGTTTTGTTGAGTACTGGTATTTGGGACATTTAATTTTGTTTTTGCATGTAACCTTTGTTATTAAGTGATTTTGAATAGAGCTTCAATAGAGTTGTTAATAGTTGTTGATTCACTTCCTCCCTC